TTGCAAGGTGAAGCAGAGAGATGTATTTGAAACAGAAACTAAAGAAAGTCCAAAGATTTTAGGTTGTGGACATTCCTCAGGGCTGATGTCTCACCCTTTCTGAGGTGACCCAGGAGATCGCAGCTCAAGGAGACTTTGTGGTTGTGAGACTGGGCTCCACAGGTAAAGTGCCTGGAGCCTTCTCAATGATTGATGACCACTAATACAGATAGTCAAAAAAATTATTTGCTGAAAATCTGTATACTAAAATGTGGTTAGGGGACTAGACCTCTGAAGACTTTTGGGGTAGGTTTCATTCCAAAAATATTGGGGAATGGGTTTTTTTTTCTGCATTTGCAGGTAAACAAGATAAGGTTAAACATACAATTGACCTGAGCGTTTTAACCTTCAAAGAAAGATACTCTTTGTAGAAAATAACTTCATTGTAGTTTTTGCTTGCAGCTATTGGAAAGCGGTTCAGAACTCCAGCAAAACTGAAATGGAACATGAAGAGATGGGTTAATAAATAGGCTGCAAGTGCATAGACTTTACAATGACAGGCAGATGCAGTTTCCATATTAACATCCACCCCTCGTGTGAACAAGCAGAGTGAATGCTGCGCATATGAGGGAAAGAGAGGATGAAGGTCTTTTGCATTTTTTTGTATCATGTTAATGAAAATGGCACAATAAGTATTCCAGATAGCAGGTGGGTGTTGCAAACAAGACAAAAAGCAATAGCTGTTCTGTTTAGGATTTCCAGAATACTGAACAATAGGAAGGACATAAAAATATCTTGGCTGTTTCACTTTTATCAAATAACCAGGTTTTTTTCAGCCTTAGTGCCAAGAAAAGTTTATTGGGTTTTATCATATTTGTTCCATTTATTACAAATAATAAGCATTCTTTACTTGACAAATATTCCTACAAAATTTCTAATAATAAAGAAATTGAAGAATATTATACAAAGGAGTTGATAGGAAATATACTTAAGTAGAATAGAATTTGAGTTTGTACATATATCTTTAAATCTAAAATGCATAATTCTATGGCCAACACAGAGCAAAGCAAATTTTATACTACTTGTTCTCGTCCTCTTCTTCCTCTAAATAGTCTTGAGTATTTTATATAATACTGAAGATATAAAGGTATTTTGTTCTTAGCAATAGGTAGGAAGAAGCTGCCTGTTGGATGGCTGAGATTCAATGTTTATGCACTACATTCCTAATTTAGGATTTTTTTTTTTAATAATCTGGAATTTATTTTTTGTTTTGTTTTAATCACACGTTAGAAAACACTAGTAAAGTATTTCATTTGGTTAACATTGCCTCCACAGTCCATATGCAATTTTATTGATGATGAGGTTCTACTGACTGGAGTATATAACTACTCAGCAGTTTTGAAACCTGCTTCTGTATCTAAAATGATAATTTACATATAAAGCTTTATAAAACTGCTTTTGAAAATCTTGGCTCTTGTAGCTTTAAAACTCAAGTGGAAACTGTTTTAGAGCTTTTGCAAGATACAGAGTACTTCCATTTTTGGTAGAATATTGTTTTTCTTAACATTTGGCAATTCAGGTTCCTTTATTGGCTGAACTGTGGAATCAAAATTAAGGTATTCGTATATTTTAAAAAAACTTACAGGATCATTGCACTTTTGGCAATGAAATTGTATCTTGATAGAGTTGTGTTTTTTTGGAATTAGTGACTGCATCACTATTATCTCTTTTTAACAGAGATAAAATTTGATTAAGCTGAAGGAGATTTGGAGGCACTTGCATTTTTCAGAGAGATACTAACTCTTATTTGGTCCAAGAAAATGAATAATAAAATCACTATGTTGCTTGTCCATCTAGGGGTTAGGTGAAGAGTTAGTAGTAATTTCTATAAATCTCTGATGAGCATGATGCTTGAACAGAGTCAAAGACCTTGCTGTCTGTGATCATAAAAGCTGCTGATGTGATGCAGAAGGAATGCATACTCTTTACTGCCTTTTTTTCAGATCTGGTCTCTACAAAATCCAGTGTAGGCTTACCGTTCTTGGTTGGCTGGTTAACTGATATTTTTTAAATCCCGAAATAAAAATGTAAAAATAAATTTGTGTGGGGCATGTCCTCCAAACTGGTTATGTTCAGCTTTGCTCAATGCATCACATTTTTTTCAAGGTGAAGTAAAGCCAGTGGGAAGCTTGCAGACAAGTTAAAAATAAAACTAGTGCTCTTATTTGGAATCTAGTTGATTTGTAAGCAGCTAAATGTGGTTACATTAGCCACCTTCCCTCTGTTATGTCAAATTCTCATCACATCCTTGTTTTACTTAACAAAGCAAGCCTGGAATAAATAAAAAAGCAAAACCAAAAAAATCCTCTCTGATCACCCAGTAATCTATGCTATGCAGACTTAGGCCAAAGGTGCCATATTTGTGTTTATTAACCCTTAATGGGTTCTTTTCTGCATCAAATTTGACCTACAGCTTTTTGTTTCTGCATGGTGTGAAAGAGAACATCTTCTTGTCTATTCTGAAACTTGCACGGGGTAGTTTTGTTTGATACCGTCTTGTATTAGAGGTGTCACTGTTCGTACTTATTCATCTTCTTGCTACTCCTGTTTTTGTAGTCTTGTATCTGGCGTACAGGCCAAGCAGACGTAGTCAATTTAACTGTATCTTGCACTAAACTTGTTTCACACTTCAGATTATCTTGTCTTTCTCATTTCTTTTTTATCTCTTTTTAAGATGGGAAGAACAGAACTGCATACAGTATTCATAGTAGTGTGCCTCATGAGTTAATAAAATCTGTGATTTATGAAGTCGCTCTGTCCTCCCTTCCTCTCCTAGTAATTTCTAGTCTTCTATTTACTTTCTAAACTAACTTATCTGATGTTTTTATAGTATTATTCTAACCCCAGGATCTTTCTTCTGAATTATGTCAGTTCTGAGTCCATCTATTTATGAGTATGTTGAACAGTACAGGCCCCAAGTATACCTTTAACTCTTCAAAAGAAAATTGCTAGGTAAGCAGCTGTAGAATTTGGGATGTGAGGATGTTAACAAATGCTTTAGTGTGTATGAACTGTGTAGTTTTGTTCACATGATTATGTCTGCATGTTTTACAGGGCAATTTTAATTAAAAAACATTACATTGACATAAAGCATACAACAAATCTGTTACAGATAGAGCATGCATACTATTGAGTACTGCAATGAAGTAAGCTACCAATGAGAATAACTCCAGAATGACGTTTTGCCAAAATAAGTCTTTTTCTTAATAGCAGGGATCTCCCCCTCCTCTCCTAAATAAATACTCCTGTCCTAAATAGAAACGTTTAGTGGTAGGAAAAATTGGTATTGCTGAATGAAAAATGGGAGCAGCAATGCACTTGAGACTTTTGGCTTACAACTAGTTTAAAGAATGGGAAAATGTAGAGAGATTAAGTAGTAAGAGTGATGAAAGATTTATTGAACTTGCTTTATCTGGAAAGATTAATAGAAGAGAATCAGGAAGCCTACTAGATTTTGAATGAATTGGATGTAAAGTGCTTAATCTTCAAGTACTAATTCAGTGAAAATATCACCATAGCCTAAGAAAGAGGCAAACAGATCTAAGGATCCTCTCTGTTTCTTTGAGATTAGGAAAGGACACCTGCTGATATGATCCAACATTTATATGAAGGAATATTGGATGTAAGATGAAGATGTTGCTAACAAAGACTGGGAACCTAAAGGTTTAAATTATTGTGGTGTGGAAAAAGCTGAAGCAAAGATTGTGTTTCCCACTCCCCCATGCATCAGAAAGACCTGTATTGATCACTTGCAATTGCCAGCACTTCTCAAGCTGGTTTTGGTTTTTGTTTGTTTGTTCTTTTTAATTGTTTTCTCTGTTTCTTGAATAGGTTGCCTCCTTCTTTTCTATAGATACTACTTCTTTTGATTTTCAAACTGGGACTAGTGCTGCTTTTCCATATTGCATGAGAACTCCAGAACAAGCCCCATCATAAATTGCCTTCCCCTCATAGCTCAATTCCTTGTGTGCTTTCCTTACTACTTGCTTGTCCCTCACCCCCATTTGATGACTGATTTAAGTTTTTAACTCAGCCTCAGAATGCCTGTGCCTCCTCCACTCAGAGCCAGACTTAATCTTCCCTTTATGGCTGGAGTCCACGTGGGTGTCATCCTTATATTTTTCTTGTAACCTTTCACAAAGGGAGATTTTGTTCCACTTTAAGGTCTCATGTTGTTGTTCTAATAGGTATGGCTGACTTGATAATATCCCGAGGTTCAGGGTCATACAGTGCTAAGCACACTGCAGAAATGTGCGGTAATGACAAAGACAGTTTCTGTTGCAGTTATTACAGCCTTTTGACAGAAGGTCTCCCACATTAGATTCTGAGGTTGCAATTATCTTTCCTTTTCTTACTTTCGTTTATTGACTTGTACGGCATTCTTTATTGCTGTGTAAGCTCATCTTATAATGGGAATTTGTTTGGATGGTTTTTATGTAATTATGAAGATCACAGGCTCAGGAATAGGATGATGTTTAGTTAAAACAATTGGTGAACTTGAGCAAAACTTTCTTGGATAGTTTTTGAAAGCTACTTCCATGATCCATCTGGCCCAATCAAATCATTAAGTTATTGATCTTTTATAGAATAATAGTCTGCTACAGGTTGGGACATACGTTGAAGTTTGTGCTGTAAAGAAATACTTATTTATTCCCAATTACTGACTTCCTTTTGTGGGGCTAAGGCAGCTATACAGTGTCACTAGTCTAGAGCCCTGTGTAAGCCCAAATGATCTGAATTTTAGGAAGGAGTGCACTATTCCTGACACTATACTTTTAAAAATAGTTTTGCTCTCCAACTACTGACGTAAGATTCCATATATAGAAAGAAGTCTTCAGAAAACAAATCAAGAGTTAATGCTACCTGGATCTATCAACAGCAGCTGCTGATTGGCTGAAGCTATGTGTATGTAATACGTATGTTCAAGGAAAGGAGTTCATTATGTTCTTGTGTGCCTCTAGGAATCCGGAAAGACCGCAGAGGTGGGCGAATGATGAAACAAAAACGTCAAAGAGAGGAGCAGGATTCCAGGAACGGTGAGGCTTCTTCTACAGATCTGCGAGCTCCCACCCTTTGGACAAGTCCACTGGTCGTCAAACATAACAAGAAGAACAGTCCAGCCCTGTCACTGACAGCAGAACAGATGGTCAGTGCCTTGCTGGAAGCTGAGCCACCCATAGTTTATTCTGAATATGACCCAAATAGACCATTCAACGAAGCCTCTATGATGACCCTGTTGACCAACCTTGCAGACAGAGAATTAGTGCACATGATCAACTGGGCAAAGAGAGTTCCAGGTAAGCAAAAAAAAGCCCCAGTGGACTATAAAAGCCTCCACATGACAAATCAATAGAAAAAAGACATATCAGTTTTCACACTACATGTTCTAATTTCATGCAAATTGTTCACTTAAGTATAAATGCATACAAAATCACAAATTTTATATTGATAAAAAACTACAGCGCAATGTAAGTGACTTTCTTCAAAAGATTTATTCAAGAAAAGATATTTCCCCACTTTATAGAGTGTTGGACAGTTTTTTGATTGTAAATCCTTTTTTCCAGATAATATCCAGCAAAATTGAAGGTAAAAATAGATTACTCAAAGCCAAATCGAATCAATTTATCTAATCAAGTTATGTTAATTATGTAGATCCCTTTTGAAAAAAGGGTTGCTCTCATGTCTGTAATGTAAGCCATAAATTCAGCATCACTACTGAGCCTATAAGTATTAGTATTATTTATTTAATTGCCAGTTTATCTTTTTGACCATAAATTACAGATCTTTGGGTCTGAAAATAGAGCCAGAATAGTAATTTTTGTACAAAATTTTTTTCCTACTGCAACTAGACATTTTTATCATTTTGGTGCATCACGGTTGCTGAGCTATGACCCCTCTTTTCTGGAAGGGAATTACAGAATTGTGGAAAGTATGTAACATTTTTGGTGAATATATGTCACACATTCATTCATGTTGTTTAATTAATTTATATCAATGAAATGAGAGAGTAGTTTTGTAATTAAAGTTCTACAAGACTACTTTTCATAAGTTAACTTTTGAATATTTATTCAATATTATTGCACATGCTGTACTTTTAGCTTTGTAAAAATACCAGCATACACGGTAATTTATAGTTTATAATTCACTGGGATTCTGATCTCTTAAATTTTTACTGTAGTCATTTATTTCATTAAAGTTATGTAGCTGCTTTATGAAGGGATGTTAGAGAACACTGCCACAGCTCTCACTCACATAGTGCATTACCTCAAAAGCATTACACCCAGGTTATGCCATTTTTCTGTTTTCCTTCATTTAAACTTGGCAAGACTCTTCCTGGTAAATCAATAACCCATAAAATCTGAGTCTTTTCCAGCCCTCATGGGTTCCCTTTTTACCACTTTTCACATGTCACTTTGTGGGCTCGAGCTATGATCAATGAGAACGTGTGTGTGTTTCATTTCTCATCGTATCTTATAAGAAATCACCTGAGAATTTTATTCTTGACAAACTCACAGTGGTTAAGGCCTGATCCACAGTCTGTTCAAGTCAAGGGCAGGTTCTCCTGTTAATTTAGGTATGCTTTGGATCATGCCTTTACAAAATGCTTTTGAAAAATGAACATATGTCCACAGTGTTAAAACTATTCACTATCAAAACAGCTAGATTCAAATGACTTTTCTACTGATTTTAGAGGTATAATTAGTTTAAAGCGGTTAAAATCCATTAATTTGCCTTCAGCATGAATATACCACATTTAAAATTCATTATGTTGTCCAGCTGGAAACATTTGTCTTCCATGACATTTGATTTTGATAGTTAATGTAATTAATGAAAATGTGTTTAAACACAAAGCAACACTGTTAGGGAACTCAGATCTGTTTTTTATTAAAAAATTTCTCTAAAACTTGTCACAAGATGATTACAGCTGGTAAAGATAAAAAACCTGCTTGGTTTACCAAATATATCTTTTATTTCCTAAGCAAGCTTCTGAAATTGGAAAATCAAGTGTATAAGGTTATCAACTATTTATGTATATCCAATGTATTTTACATTTAAATAAATGTGCCTGTCAAATGCCAAAATAGCTCCTAAGGAGAAACGAAGCCAAATGACTCTATGTATATGCATTAATAAGTACTCTAACAGGTGAGGTTTGATTTAAAACTGGTGAGCTTTGGTTAAAAAAAACCCAATTCCCTTGCCAGAGTTTGGTCTCTTAGGCACTGTACAAACAATCATACCAAAGGGAAGTCCTAAAGCAGGAGAGAGAGAATATGAATAGTTTGGGGATTGTGAAAGTGCTGGACACCTAGGTGGTTCTTGGTGTTGTGGCTTGGAGGACGGTATGCATGATCTAAAGCAGAAATTAAAGTATTTGAGAAAGTTGATTTAAAGGAATTCAGGCCCAATTTTTTATCTACCTCTCAAATTGGGTCCTCTGAGAGTAGGAATTTTGGAGCTAGGTGCTTAAATTTTTTTTTTTTTTTTTGGATCTCTCATTTGGTCCCTAGAAGAGGTTTGAGTGTTCTTAGTTGCTGACATTAAATCTTAAAGTACTGATCACTCCAAAGATAGGGTCTTTGCTTGGACTGTTTGCCTAAGTTTCCTTCTGCTGGAATGTACTGGCAATAAATGTACATTAAGAGAAATGTGTCTGGCAATGTAAGTCGTATTTTCACCTCCACAGTATGTTGCCTTTGAATACTCCATTATTACTAGGAATTACGCAATACCGCTTAATTAGAGAGGATTTTCATATACTTTATGCATAAACAGAAGAACCGAATAACTTTTTTCTGTTAGGTGAAGTATTTTGTGCAACAGCATTGTGGGATTCCACTCAGTTATTTTCTCAGCTAATTTACTAAGGTTTCAGGCTTTGGAATCAAGGATAAAACCCATCTTTTTCTAAAAAGCCAGTGTGCTTTTTACCAATAGAAAAAAGCAGTTGCAGGAAACAGCCTCTCCTGTGCACACCTCTCAAGCCTTGGAAACATTGCACAAGCTCTTTTAGCTACATGCAGGCACTTAGTTGATGGAAAACAAGGAGCAAAGTCAATACAAGTGGCTGGGTTGAAAGCATATTTGTTGAGGAAGGAAGAAATTGATATTAACAGAGCAGAAATGCAATGAATATACAGCTTACAAATAAGTGTAAGGAGTTTCAGAGACATGTTTGGAGTTTATTTTGCTGTGTAGGCTTTAAAGAAGAGGGAATGTGTCAAAGCAACTAGTAAAGACATTGGTTTGGTCAGCCAGTCTTTCTGATGATGTATATAGATGGACATGGAAGAAGAAACTGCTAATTAGAAGGTGTACTGGATAGAAGTGAATTTATGTAGCAAAAAGGAGTAATGAAAATTACTTTATGATGGACTGTGTAGTATAATGTAGGCAGAGATCTGTTATAAAGACATGCTGAGGACAATGTCCAAAATGAGGTGAATATCTTTGCAAACGTGCCCTGATTGGGACAGTGAGAACTGGTCTAAATCTTTTATGGCAACTTGTTCAGCATTAGTTCAAACTTGCTTAAATTGACTCTGCAATCTTGGTGGTGTTAACAAATTGGTGGGGAAAAGAGAACTTGTAACAAGTTCTTGCGCATGACCTTAAAGAATGATCTTCAATATTTAAGGATAGCATGATTGTTAGCTGAGGTCATAACAAAGTTCTCCCATGACAATGCAATTCATAATATGCCAAGTGCATAAAAGCTCGTTTTCATTTTTCTTTGAAATGTTGGCCACTGATACAAATGGGTCTGCCAGATTACATGAACAAAAATCTTGTACGGTGTCCTATGACATATACAAAAAATTCAGGATGCCTCACAGGACTTGTTCTTTACATGGCCTAATGGGGATTTTGGCTTAAGTCCTCCCAGATGGCCTCTGTAAGGCACCAGCGGTGCCTTCTGTTTACCCCAGCCAGCTGGAATAGCAAGCAGCTGCACATAAGGCGGGTGCAAACAGACTGTCTTGGGCTAGACTTTACATACACATGTAAGTTGAGCCTTTTACCATTTAATTGGGACAAATCACTAAAAATCACATGTAGGCAAGGTATCAGCATAGATGAATGAATGTTCTGCTCATTTCTGAATCACGTATTCCTGAAAGATATGGCTTTCTCTTTTTCTTCTTGGTTTACATTACATCTTGGGGATATAGTACCACCTGCACTCTCATAGAACAAGGCATTTTAGTTTAGTGAATTTTCATCATGGTCTTAGATGCATTGAGCAAAACCATTATTTGCTTTTCTACAGAAATGCTGATAAGTCAAAGGAATTAACTTACTGTATTTCATTATTTACTTACTGTGTATATCATTTAATAACTATATTTGGAGTATTGTATTCTCTAAAGGAAGCTGGAATTTTTAATGTAATCATCAACAATTTTTTGTGTGCAGAAGCTCTTGAGATGGTAAGAGACATTACAAGCTCATACAGTGAGCTCATGGTAAAGTGTGTAGCTTTAAGGAAATTTTGTTGCAAGGGTGAAATCTTTGGCACTGCTGCTACAGTCTTGTATAACTATTTACTACCAGTACAGTAGCTGTACAACTTAATAGCCCTAAAATGGTACGCTGGGCATACAAGCTTTGAAGTTCTGAGATGATTCACGGTGCTGCACTTATTTTATGGCTTCATGAACCGAGGAGATAAACATTTTGGCACAGATTTTTTTTATTTCAAAGCCACAGAAGTTGCTATTTTCTTAAGATATTGTTTTCCTATTTGACCTTCTAAACTGCTCTGTTTGTTAAATTAGGAACAGTGTGTAAAGAGGCCAACAATAGCCACAATTTTACACTGCACTTCAGTGACACCAAACCTTGGAAAAAAGAAAAAAAAATCAGCTTGCAGTGGAAGGAAAGAAGTCTTACACAAGAGTGGTGTGTGTTAATAACCCTTTAGGTGCAGGACAGTTTACAGAGCTTCTAAGTGTAGTGATCCTCCTGGCAATAATTTCCATTTAGCTTAAAAAAATGAATGGCTTGCAATTCCTACAATAATTTTTAATAAACCTTCCAAAATATCTGCTTTATAGTCTCTTCTCCTTTGACTAATGGGCTTGCTGTGACGCCTCTGCTCATCTGTTTAATCTGTTGAAGTGATACTCTAACTGCTCCCCTGACTTCATAGGGGAAAAAAAGAGGAAGCAAATAGGTCTGTAAGCAAAAGAGAAATGATAACAAGCATCTGGATCTTAATTTGTGGCTGCTTTTTGCTAATTTAATTTTTGTGAAGTTTCAATTCATTACCATGAACGTAAGAGATAAGAATCAA